CCTACTACTACTAAATAGCTATATCCCTCTTTTGGTAAAGGGAGGTTACTCTCTCGGAGGAGGGAGGTAATTGCATGTTTTCCCTTTGCCTTAGTGCTTTAAGGTCCAGGGTTGGGACCGCCAGTGGCGGACCGACAAACACAAGGACCGAGCATTTGGCAGTAGTTGCGTCTCCATTTGCATCTTTCCCCACCAACAACAGTGTCTAAGGCCAACTGTTAGACCACGCTAAGCGTGGTGGCGCAACCAGTGTCAAGGGCTTTCCTTTGTTGATGTTGTGCCTAAGAAATATTATAGCTGGTTCCGCAAGTTATTGTGGTGCGGCAACCCTGACTCAGGCTTGGCTTTGGGCTTAGGTATAAAGGTTGGTTTGTTTGCTACAACTAGAGGAGGGGATGCGGCTGTTAGGGTCAGGGGCTTAAATGTCGTGGGTGTTTTTTTTTATGGTTGTTTATTTTGTTGAGGGGACATTTTGTTTTTCCTTTATTGATGTAGAGCCTAAGAAATGTGGAAGGGTGGGTGAGGTCTTAAAAGGGGTTTATCTGGACAATCGAGTGGTCGATTACCGTGGGTGACTGTCATTTGTGTAGTATCCCGCCACTACAAAAACACGGGCTTAAAATGAAAAACAGGAATGTTGTGGCTGACACCGTAAGTTATTGTGGTGCAATAGCCCTGATGTAGGTCTGGTTTCATGTTTAAGTGTGGGGGAGGGGTGCCACCCCCTCCCCCCCTCCTCTGTGTATAGATTGGTTTGTTTGCTATGCCCGAAAAGGGGGTTGCGGTTGTTGGGGTCAGGGAGTTAAAATGTTGTGGGTGCTTTTTTTGTGGCTGTTCATTTTGCTGAGGGGGCATTTATGTTTCCTCTATTGATGTCGAGCCTAGGGGCTCGCCACACCACTGTCGAAAGGCAAAAAAAACGATGGCTGTCAGAATAATTTCGACAGCCTCCTTTCGACAATTTGCCCCCCTTTAGCCACACAACACTGTAGAACAGACGCACTTGCAAATGCAAGATGGAAAAAAACGAACTCGCCTGAGTGTACGACTAGCGTTAGTCCATCCCGACGTCACGCCCACTCAACAAATTTAGAGGAGAAGTCGATGGCGCAGGCGACGATTGTTGAAAACATCGAAGTCGCAGCCGGGGGATTCAACAACTTTCGAAAGGAGGTGTCGAGAAGCATTTTCTGACAACTTGCGAATTTTCTTTCTGTCTCCGATTTCGACAGGTTGTATGGCCAAGAGAGACTATCAAAAATTGTGTTTTCGACAGTGGTGTGGCAAACCCCTAAGAAATGTTGTGGCTGACACCCAAATTCTTTCATTTTTCACGACCTATCTACCACTACTAAATAGTTATCTTCCTCTCTTGGTGAAGGGAGGTTACCTCTCTTGGCGGAGGGAGGTAATTGCATGGTTGCAAGTTCTTTCATCTTTCATGACCTACCTATCACTACTAAATAGCTATCTTCCTCTCTCGGTGAAGGGAGGTTACCTCTCTCAGTGGAGCCACTAAATAACTATCTTCCTCTTTTGGTGAAGGGAGGTTACCTCTCTCGGTGGAGCCACTAAATAGCTATCTTCCTCTCTTGGTGAAGGGAGGTTACCTCTTTCGGTGGAGCCTGGTTATTGCATGTTTGCCTCTTGCCCTAGGGTTGGGGCGCCAGTGGCAGCCTGGCAAACACAAGGATCGTGGCAGCCTGGGAAACACAACGACCGAGCATTTGGCAGTAGCTGCGTCTCCCTTTTCATCTTCCCCCCCTCCTGGTGATTGCAGTGTCTAAGGCCAATACTCGCCCGCACATCACACCTAACCCACTCACATTCGCACTCACACCCGTGTTGGCTCAAAACCCTACTAAGCTGATCCCATAGTACACAAAAAGAGAAAAAACACGAGAGTCCCTAAAAAGAAGGCAATGGGTCGGACGGGGTGAAAAAGCAAACTCGGACCCCACACGAACGTGATCTGCGGGTTTTTCCCAAGGACTGCGGCGGGATTTTTTGGCCTTCCACTGTGACAGACATTCATGTGGACCACCGTATGGCCTGGCCTCCCCAAGTGGGTGATACGGCATCTGCCAAGGGCCAGGAGAGTGTGGAACCTTACCCATTTTCACCAAGGGCAGACATAAAAAAGGCTGACTCATTTTCACAGCAGCTTTTTCAGTAGGGGTAGGGGTCCTCGAGCTTACCATTTTGTGTAGCATCGTTGGGCCGTCCAGGTAGGGGGCATCTATGTTTTCGCAGGACTGATGTGGCTATTTCTTTGGTAAGAGTGAGGGGCGGTAGCTGGGGTCTTTGATTGGACTATCTGCCTTTATTGAGCCTGTTTCTGTCTTTGGGTCCCAGTTGCTTCTGGGGGCCTGGAGGAATCACCCAGGTAAAGGTTTGCGGTACCGTGTCGTCGGGACCATTTTTGACCGGTTCCGGTTCCGCCTGTTTCTGGCTGTTGTCGCTTCTGGACTTTTATTTCCTGGTTTGTTTTCTGGTCCTTTCGATTTTGGTAGCCGCTGACCTAGGTTGAAGTGCATGTTTTTCTCCCTTCTGGGTTCGTCTTAAATAGAGTGATGGGAACGTCAACATGCACTCGATTGCGTGACATAGATCCCTGATGATTCGGGCTCCGGCTCCGGCTCCGGCTCCGGATGAAACATGTAGGGTCGTCGCCGGAATAGTTCGACTATGGGTATTGACGATACGGGCATGACGCCTACTTGTGAGTTGAGCTTGATGGGTTGTGGTTCTCCTGTTAATTTGAATTGCCCATCAGTCGCGTTCGGGAGACTTGACGTGTCTTCATCTTCTATCTATCTCTTCTTCTTATTCTTCTTCTTCTTCTTCCTCTTTCTTCTTTTGTCTCTCGGTAGCGTCTTGACTCTGTGCCATGCTGTTTTGTTTTTTAACTGGTCTCTCGGTAGCGTCTTGACTCTATGCCATGCTGTTTTGTTTAGGCCTTCGAAGCCGACATGGGACTTATGTTGTTGTTACTTTGGGATAAGGATTATTGATGTTGTGCGAGTTAATACTTACCGTCCATCACGGACTTCGCGCCACGGACACAGAAACGGAAAACGTACCCCTAACAAAGGGCCGCACCCTCCTACGTGGGAAAGTTGTGGGATGCGCATTTCTCAACAAAATTCTCCGCTTTACCCACTGTCGGATCAGAAGCTAATAGCAATCGCAGTATCCAGCTTCTTTTTTTGTTTTTTTCGGCATTCTTGTTCCTTTTTTCGGCGGTATTTTGGTGACGAAACAGCCCGAACGTCTGTGTGCGTTTCACAGTTTGTGAGTGGCGTCACGAGGCCCAACATAGATAGATTTTTTGGGTTTTCCTTTCCGTTAGTGTCATGGTGCGGTGGGGTCTAAGGTGGCGTAGGTAATTGAGAAAGGATTCTGACCTGTATTTGAAAATTTCATGGGTGTGCCAACTGAGCTATAGGCACATTGGCTTTTCAGACGCAGATTTGTTTTCTCGGGGTACCGCCGTCGCGATTTTCCCTGCTGGTCGGCGCTGGCCGGAAGGGAATAGGCAGCCGGAGCAGAGTCGAGCTGCGTTCAAACGGGCGTGCGGAACTGCAGTCTCTCTCTCTCTCTCTCTCTCTCTCTCTCTCTCTCTCTCTCTCTCCGATGAAACCCAGCAAAACTAATGCCTCACGCCCTGCGTCCTGCCTCCCTGCCCTGTCTCTTATACACATCTAGATGTGTATAAGAGACAGGTTTAGGCCTTCGAAGCCGACACTGGACTTATGTTATTGTTGCTATGTGAAAGGATTATTGATGTTGTGCGAGTTGATACTCACCATCATTTTTACGTTGTAACCGCCGTAGGGATTGAACTACGTGTGTGCGGCTCGTGTTCGTTATCACTTTGTGCACGACTTCATTAGTCTCGGTGCTTTCGAGAGTATCGTTTGTTGGGGCTTTTCTAGAAGAAGCACTATGGCGGGAGTACCAGCTGGAAGGAATGAATGTTTTCACTGTGGAGCCTTGAACCATTGGGTTAGAGATTGTCCGAACCGTTTCATGTTACCACGACCACCTGCGACGGGAGCTAATGCTATTCCCATCGGCGCCCCGCTTCTAGCGTTACCCGCACCAAATGGTCAATCTTCTTCATCTTCCGGGGTCCCCCTCCCCCTCCTCCTTCTACTTCGTACGCTCCGTCTTCCTCCGACTACTTTCAGGGTGGAATTGTTGGGGGAAGCAACTACGGCCAGCAGGGTAGGACAAATTGGTGGACTCATAATCAAGAGCGGTTTGACAAGGTTTATAACAAGTTCGTGGAAGACTCCGAGAAAGAAGCCAGACGGAAAGAGGAGGAGGAGAGAGTAAGGAAACAGAAAGATGAGAAGGAAAACTACTTGAAGTGGAAGGAGGAGAGGGAACGGTTTGAGGCTAAGATGGGGGCCCGCTTGGAAAAGAAGTTGGACGAGTTGAGTGTATCTGTGAAAGGTAAAGGAGCAGAAACGGGGAATAGAGAGAACGAGGTGCTAGAACGACTACGTAAGGAGAACAAGGACTTGAAGAGGAAGTTGAGTGAGTTGATGTGCCCGACGAGAGAGGATAAGGTACTGTATTTACAGAGGGAAGGTATGGAACTGCGCAAGCAGGTGGCAGACAAATAACTGAACCAGGATGCTATCTTGGCATTGAGGGAAGAGATTGGAGAACGTAAGCAATCAGTGTATGTGAAGACGAATTTTGAGAATGAGATTGCGGGCCTCAGGAAGGAGGTTAGTTTGTTGCGAGGTCAAAACGAACGGGTTATGGTGGAAGCAAAGCAATGGAAGGACGAGGCTTTCACGCCTGGTAATAAGAGAGGTAACGTTGTGGTTGAAACTCCTGAGTGTAGCGCTCGGGGTGCTCCTAAGACCCGGTGGACCGATAATGTTAGGGAGGCAGACAAATGGAAGGAAGAGTACCGGAATTTGCGTAGCCTGCACCGACTGGCTAATGTTGAAGTCGAAGCCCTCAAAGAGTAGAGGGCCGAAGCTAAGAGGAAAAAAATGGAGGCGGAGCAGCAAGTGGAGAAGTTGGAGGAGCAAATGAGTAAGTTAATAGTCGGCGAAGATAAGGCCAAAGGAAGCGGAGGAATTAATTTGAAGGAACGATTGGAGGAAGCCGCTGTTCGTTCCGCAAGGAAGGGTCTGAAGGCTACTCCTGGAAGAGTTGGCGGAAGAACTGCCATAGATATTAATGATCGTGCTGCCTTAAAGTTTGTGGAAGAGCAGAAGAAGCAACTCAGGTTGTTGAGAAAGGCTGGGTTAGAACCGTTCGAGGAGATTGTCTGTGAGTTGGCTGAAGCTCGGGCCAGGAAAGCCTTTGATAAGGCCACACACAAGGATGCGACATCGAAAGAAGGACGACCTGTGTATGAGGTAAGTGAGGATACATCTAAGGAAGTATTCCCCTCCGAGGATGATGATGATGAGAGGTCGGTCAAGTTGTAGGAAGTTTTCCCGAGCGTGATGACACTTTGGTCATTGGCAAATGAGTGTAGGTTGAAACGAAGTGGGTTTGATCTATCTCCCCCTATTGCTGGTTATTCCGACGTCTGTCCTGGTCAAACTGCTTCTTATTTTCTTCGCGATAAGGCTTTCAATGCCTTTTTTCGTCTGATAGTGATTGGGCTGACTCTGCGAGACCAAATACCTTGGACCAAGAAGTTGGAGGAATATTTGTTGAATTTGCTGATTCATGGGTTGATTTGAAAGAATGCGAGGGCCATCTTGTGTACATCCTGGTGTCCCCCTGATGCCTTCATCTGTACGTTGGGTCTACGACACGGTCCCTTCCAGTCCGATGGAACGAACATATTTATCATACCATTAATCACCAAGTGATCGATGGAGGTAGGCACAACCACAAACTCTATTCATGGCTAAGGAGAGGTTTGATTGGGCAATATGTAGCTATCCCCCTCTTTCGTTGTGGGAGTGGGGATCTGTTGAGTTTGAAAAAGTATGTTATTTGATTGACGTGTCCGTACCTTAACTGTCGGGATAAATAAAGTAAAGGGCATCGGAAGAGACCAGGTAGGAGAGAGAGATTGAAGAAGAAAAAAGAAGTTGGGGAGTGTTTTGTTGAAAAGACTGTCCGGTCTCATTTAATTTTCCATTCGACTATTGGTGTAACGACTACTCGCCTCTCTGCTATTTTATATTTTTGTATTGAGAAAAAAGTGACGATCGTGAGCATTGCTTGCGCAGGTGGTAAATTGATTGCTGAGAATTGGAAGTTAATTAAGAGGAAATATCAGTCATCACTGATTAGACAATCTGGTCACATTGAGTTATTGAAAAAGGGAAGGGGTATGCTGCGACATGGGAAGTATCTTATGTTTGCCACGATTGTTCCTTTTATGTCAAAATCGTTGATCATGAAGCCCTCCCTTGCAAGTTTCTTGTCTAATCCTTCCTTTCGTAAGGGTGGGATTTCTCCGTTCTGGTACAAGCCTTTTCTGCAATTCGTGCCTTTTCTGAAAAAAGGAGCCGCTATTCACATTTTTGTCCTCCCTTGGTAAGGATCGGTTGCTGGTCCATGGCATTCGGCTTATTGACGATATATCGATCTTTGTCAAGTATTGATCCGTATGTAATGGATCATTAAAGAAAGCAAAAAGGATCTTGAGTGATTTTGAGAACTGTTATGATGCACATTTGACCTTGGAATGTACGAGTAGATCTGATTGCTGGGATTTTCTAGGTTGCTCTATCAAGAACTTTGGGTGGCCGATGGGAGTAAGATGCGCAGCCACCCACAAGAATCAGAAGACGATTTTGGAGAAGGGGCTTCGGTTTCAAAGTCTGCAGGACAATTGTTCCTATGTTAGTAAGAAACAAAAGATGGCTGTTGTCGGATCATTCATGTATCGTGCGAAGAGGTCACGAGCATGCCGACTGCTGATGTTGTTTTTCTGCTCACATTGGAAATTGAGTTGAGACTATGGGACTTTCCAAATCAGATCTTTGATAAGACACTGCAATGTTTTTCCTTGAAGTTTGGGGGTCTATGAGATAATTGGGTCGATTGTCTTACTGGATGGGATAATAAAAAAAAAAAATTAGTCCCAAACGTTGGTAAAGTATAGTAAGGGTTTTCTGTGAGGACGGGGTTTAGGTGGACCGGTCCAGGTAGGGAGCATCTATGTTTTCGCAAGACTGATGTGGCTATTTCTTTGGTAAGAGTGAGGGGCGGTAGCTGGGGTCTTTGATTGGACCATCTGCCTTTGTTGAGCCTGTTTCTGTCTTTGGGTCCCAGTTGCTCCTGGGGGCCTGGAGGAACCACCCAGGTAAAGGTTTGCGGTACCGTGTTGTCGGGAGCGTTTTTGACTGGTTCTGGTTCCGCCTATTTCTGGCTGTTGCCACTTCTGGACTTTTCTTTCCTGGTCCTTTCGATTTTGGTAGCCGCCGACCTAGGTTGAAGTGCCTGTTTTCTTCCTTATGGGTTCGTCTTAAATAGAGTGATGGGAACGTCAACAGACACTCGATTGCGTGACAATAGACCTCTGATGATTCCGGATCCGGCTCCGGATGAAACATGTAGGGTCGTCGCCGGAATAGTTCGACTATGGGTATTGACGATACGGGCATGACGCCTACTTGTGAGTTGAGCTT